ATGTGAGAGCTTCCTGATAGTCTTGACCATGTTTCGTCCACAAAACCTTTAATAGAAGCCAAAGATGTTTCAATGTGGAAAAGGGCCTCAGTCTAAACCAGGCCTCATTTCAATCTGATGCATCAGCGCTCTCTCTCTCTCTCCCTCCCTCCCTCCCTCCCTCCGTCCCTCCCTCCCTCCCAGACTGGCTTTGCTCTACTTTCCCGATGTGCCTGCGGGGCTGGTGCTTCGAACATGGATGGATAGATAGAGAGACAGGTAGGTAGGTGGATAGATAGATATATTGGTAGATAAATAGGTAGGTGGTAGGTAGGCAGGCAGGCAAGCAGGCAGGAAGACAGACAGACAGACCCTTTGGATGGATGGATGGATGGATGGATAGGTAGGTAGATAGATTGATAGATAGATAGATCTATATTGGTAGATAGGTAGGTAGGTAGGTAGGCAGGCAGGCAGGTAGGTAGGCAGGTAGGCAGGCAGACAGACCTTTTGGATGGATGGATGGATGGACAGACAGAATGTGACAATGGCGGCACTTTGCAAAAGCGGTGGTGGCAGCTTTTCCCAATGTGCTGCCGCATTTGAGGCACCGGCTCCGGTGCAGTACAACAGTCAATGGGCCTGCAGGGCTGGTGCCTCAAATGCCCCCCTACCACCTCTTAGTGCCCCTCTGCCAGGCCCCTTGGGGAAGCTAAGAGGCGGCAGGAGGGGTTCGAGGCACCGGCCCTGCAGGCTTACCCATTGCCTGTTGCACCGCTCTGGAGCCGGTGCCTCAACCCCCGTCACCTCTTAGCGCCCCTCTGCCGGCCCCCTTGGGGATGCTAAGTGGTGACAGGGGGGCAGTAACGTGCCACCGCTGCCGCATTCAAGGTGCCGGCTCTGGAGCAGTGCAACAGATGGCACCTTGAACACTCCCCTGCCTCCTCTTAGCATCCTTCTGCCGGCCCCCTTGGGGACGCTAAGAGGCGGCAGGGGGGCGTTCGAGGTGCTGGCTCCGGAGCATTGCAACAGTCAATGGGTGAGCCTGCAGGGCCGGTGCCTCGAATGCCCCCTGCCGCCTCTTAGTGTCTCCAAGGGGGCTGGCAGACGGGCGTTCGAGGCGCCGGCTCCGGAGCAGTGCAACAGTCAATGGGTGAGCCTGCAGGGCCGGCACCTTGAACACCCCCCTGCTGCCTTTTGGCATCCCCAAGGGGGCCAGAGGAGTGCTAAGATGTGGCAGGGGGGCATTCCAGGTGCCAGCTCCGGAGCAGTGCAACAGTCAATGGGTTATCCTGTGGGGCCGGTGCCTCAAACACCCCCTGCCACCTCTTAACATCCCCCTGCCAGCCGCCTTGCCTCTTAGCGCCCCCCTAAGGCATCCCACCGCCCCCCAGGGGGCGGTACCACCCACTTTGGGAACCACTGGTCTAGAGTCCTTATCACAAGCAATCCAACTCTAGCCTCCCTTGAATTTCTTTAACTCTTGTCTAGTGCCAAGTTAGTGTCAACTGTAAATTGACTGGATTCTTGTGTATAGGCTTGAGCAATAACTAATCTTAACTTGAAATTAATGTGTGGTCCTGATTCTTTTTGTGTGTCTTTCTCTCTTTCTCTTTCTCCCCCCCTCCAGACACACATACACACACACAAAGACACACACAGATAATTATATAGTCGTTGCATTTAGTTAAAATCAATACATAACCTTTTTATTGCAACTCATAAGTTCATATTGCATTCTGACTCTATATAACACAAAATGGAATTTAGAAAAATTGAGGAATGCACGAATGATTTAGATTCCAACAGAAGAGGGGTGGGTGAGGCAAAGTTACTGATAATATGCATACACTTCAAATTTTACTCAAGCTATACATTTTATGTATTTGGGGAAAATTATATGGAAATTATTTCTGTAGACTATATACTGTATACTAAAGAGAATTTATGATTCTAATTGTGTTAGAACAGGGAAAATAGTAAATTGCAACTCTTAGTTCAAAGAAATGCAAGCCGGTTCTAATATAATATCCAAAATGAAAGGGTTAACCTGAGACATGTGAATATAAAACTGAGACCATCTAAGCATGCTCAAAGACACTTTCTAATTTACCATTAAGTCATATATTGACTATATAAATAGGAACCTGTTTTTTAGAACAGGTTTATTTTGTCTTTCTTCCAACAAATGTGGATGCAGAGAATATACAATCTTTAGCTTGATTTCATCTTTGTAAAGTTCAGTAAGAAGGTAATCCTAAAGGATATTCTGGCAGTACACATATATAAGCACATACAAGTTTAATGGGCTTTTGCATGCTTTTCTTCTGACATGGCTGTATAAGGACTAGAAGCATCCACACCTGTTTTTAAATTAATTAGATTTACCTGTAACAGCCAAATTTAAAGAATGCAAGTTGGTTGTACATATGATTTATGAACAAGTGAAAATAATGTTTGATCCAGACCTTTTAAAGTAATAGTTCAAATTAGCCAAAATTCATCCAATTAGTTTAAAACTCAAGTCTAAGACCAAAACTATTAAAGCCATAGTATTGTGATAACCATGTATCTATACAAATCAAGCACTGATGTACAAGATAACATAAAAAACACAGCTTGCTGACAAAATGTAGAAGTGAAGTTTCAGATGAAGTAGCAAGAGCACTGGTAAGAGGGTGAAACATGAGGTTTTGTTATATAAGATCATTATGTTTCTTCTATTGTATGAATGTCTGGCAAAAATATGGGATTCCTATAATTCATATGATGTGCACATTTTGTACCATACCCCATGTGGTAGTTTTACTATCTTACTATATGCACTGTAACAGTGTAAGACAAACACTGCAGAAGTATGACTTGGCATTTATCTCTAGTTATTACTGGGCCATGGGGGTATTATTTCAAGAACTGTGTGTGTTGCTAAAGTAGAAGAAGGGTTTGTCAGAAGTGCTTGTGTGTGTGCTGTTGAGAGAGAAAGACAAAGAGAGAGAATGGAAAGTACTTCCTCATTCTAACAAATAAAAAAAGCTGCATAATATGGTATATCATACAAATGTTCATATTCATTGACACTCATACTATCATATGTACATTATACACACACACATTTATCTTTCTTTCTTTCTTTCCCTCTCTCTCTCTCTCTCTCTTTCTTTTTTTTAGTATTATGTACCAAATTATGTATCCTCCCTACTAAATAAAATATATCATTGAAAGGGCTATGCATATATTGTAAATATAAATATACTGTATTTTTAATATGTCCTTTTATATTAGAGCCTTTTTCTGCATTCTTTCAATCCATTAAAATTTAACTTTTTTTAAAAAAATGTAGTTGATTCATCAATTTGTTTTAAAAGTTACACAAAGAGCTGCCAGAGTAGCTTATAGACAATACAAAACAATACAACATAAAGATACAAGCACAATAATTAGATCCATAACAGAAAAAACATGCTTACAGACACCCACTTCCAAGATTAATGGCAAAGTCATACTTAAAATGATAACTTATTTAATTGGAGTTACTATAAGTCTAACTCAGATCCAACTAATTGAAAACTAAGCAGATCAGCTATAGTGAAGAAACATTATTACTACATAATTAAGAGTTTTAAGGATTTGTAATGCCTCAAGCAATAGAAGGCAGTATCCAATCATACATTGTGCTACAAATGGAAAGATCTCATCTTATTTGCCACCATCTACCTTCTAACTGCTGAAAGCAAAAGGAAATGCAAAAAATATAAAATAATAAAAAGCCAGTTAATGTTCTTTAAAATGTTCGCATAATTAAAAAAATATATAGCAACAATGGACAAAGTATTTAACTTCTTCTCTAGATAAAACAAAAGATAAGAAAAAAACGAGAGAAGAAAAATTAACCTTTGGAAAGAAAATAATAAAATTAGGATGTTCTAATCATGATAACTAGGTGAGTGATGGGACAGGCATGTATCTACTTTTCCTATTCACTAAAGATGCAACTGTAGGGACCATTTTAATGTAAAACATTTTCTTTATCTACTGGTGTAAGACATTTTACGTCTTGTATTGTTCTTAGAATCTGATCACCTTCCTGCATATTACATGCATCCATGTGATTGATATTTCATTTGGAGAAAACAAGATTCTAACAATTTCCCTTGTTAAATATTTTTTGTTACCATAATATTGAGATCAGTTATGTTCATATAAAAATACATGGGAAAAGGCAAACCACTGTACAGTAGTTCATTTACAGTTCAAGGATAAGGAGAACTGAAATATCTTTCTACAAAAAAACAGGGATTTATTTGTTAAAATGAGGCAATATTAGCTGTTCAGTGTATTTTAACAGTATATGAATAATTTTATTTTTCCTATGATATACATTATCAGACGCATAATAAAAAAAAGTTTAATTAAATAAATTAGTCATATGTTCTTACCACAGCATCAAAAGCACTTTCACATATGGTTGCCAATTAGAAGTCCTTCTTTTTTCTTCTAGATTATGCTAGGATTAGTTTTAATATTGATAAATGTTGCATCAGTTAAAGAGACTAAAAGAAGAATTTCTCCAGAAACACCATATATTCAGATGTCTTATGATTTTTCATTATGGTGATATATTCCAGTTTAACAAAGCCTTTAAAAAAATGTAATTGTTTCACTTCCTAGGGCATACCCTTTCCAAACTAGCAATCCTTTTAACAAATAACATATGTGTACTAGCTCATGGTGTTAAATTCCACTCTGTATTTCTAACTTTCAAGAAATAAAGGAAATATATTTTGAATGAAGCTATCTTTTTAGTGGGTCTCCTGAGGTATTATAATTTAAAATTTTCACCTGAACATTTTATGTACATGTATACCTGCATTATTAGCAGATTTAAATTGTATGCATTAAAGCTTTTCTTCCTTTTAACCAAAGCAAAGTATTTTAAGAAAATTGATCAAAATATTGGTACAACTTTTATAATTTTGGAAGATTTGACCAAAAGATAAATAGAATGAAATTTCTTTGCCTACCTTCAAAGTAACCAATTTTTGTAGTCTGTGGCTTCTTTGGTGGTTTCACGGGGGGATGTTTATTTTCATTGTTTTTGAACAACGCCAGTCGCACAGCTGGGTCTAGACGACAAGAACAAGTTAAAATCAAAAGGTCAGATCTTGCTCATTCGTTCCTTGAAAGAAGTATTCGTCTTTTAGCCATTTATTAAGAGAAACAGAATATCCTTGTAGGTTTTACATTAGGAAGGAAAATATACTATTTCTAACATTAAAGAGTTAAAGTTAAAGCACCTCAATTTCAATCATATATCTTAAAGCAACTATTGTTTTAATTTGGCTATTATATACAAAATTGCTATCATAAAACTACAATAAAAGTATACTTGAGTTAATAGTTGAATGTTCTGGTTTGAACATGTATTTTCTACTCAGTTAAAAAATTGCTAAATATACACTTAGCTATAGTGTATATGTTCTTACCCTCATTTACAAATAAAATAAAATAAAATAAAATATAAAATATAAAATATAAAATATAAAATATAAAATAAAATAAAATAAAATAATAAAATAAAATAAAATAAAATAAAATAGTTTAGTGGAAGTTTCTCTCATGTAAGTAGGAACAGTATTATAACATAAGGGAATTAAGTAACTAAGGTTGCTACTAAGTTGTATCATGAGTCTAATTTGAGATTTAAAACTCTAAATATCTTTTGATCTTATGCTAAAGCTAAAGAAACTATCTAATGCAAGAGACTACTTTGCACTGTCTCCCTATTTGTCTTCATGCACAGCTATGTTCTAAAACACTGAGGTTTCCTCTCAATGTTAGTTGGGATTATCCAACTAGCTGGAATTCTGAAAATAGGAGAATTACATGAGGAGTGGCCCATAATCTATGGCAATTTATACCTCTTTTGCTTTTATACTACATCTCCACCAGAGTTGGAAATAGTTCAACTATGGCACAATAATTTTGTCCAAACAGAGTTTTTAAAAAGCTGCTTCTTTACATCTTTGAGGTTAACTTGAAATAGTTCCTGCTTCTCTTCCCAATACAATTTCAAAATTACCCTAAATGAATTAGTGGAATTCAGAGGGTAAAAAATAAAAAAGGTCACTGCTAGTAAAAATGGATGTTTAAGGTCAAAGAGGTGCATTATGCTCTATTGCTTGATTACAGTTGTATATTAAAGAATATTTGCCAATATTCTTGGTTAGAAATGTTCCAGTATGATGCCAACCCCTTTTCTGTTACCTCTTAATAGAGAAAAAGAGTTGGGGTGGACAGCAGTTGATGAATAAATCACAGCACACTATGTCCACAACTAATTTAACTATCTGAATAAACAGTCATCACTATCATGGAGTAAAGGAGAACAGCCTTCTGAGCCTCTACTTAATTTGTCCACATGCATATACTCAGCTATCAGATAAATACAACTTGTATGGAAAGGAAAGCTAGGAATCTTTTCTTTTGATAAAAGGCACAAAACCTTCATATTTCCTGAATTTAATTTTACTTCAAGTAAGTTTTCAGACATTGATAAATACATACTGAGTAAAATAATATGACATGCAAGTGTTCTTGGTCACCAATTTTATTTTGCAAATTAGTACTCTGTTTTTAGTGTGAACAACTGCTTTACTTCTCATGGAATTTGAGATATGTTGTCAAAGGTATATTTAATATCAACAAACTATGAGTATTAAATTTAAATTAGAGTTTGTCAACCCTTAGAGCTGCCAAGCAAATTTATTGGTTTGAGGTAAAAGGGAAGTTCTTTATTTTATATCCTCATAAAAGATTTAATCTATTAATTCCTGCTATTAATGACAGGTTCTGCAACTGTCATTATATTAGGAGACTGGAACAGAAAGTTAAGTCTCCCCAAGTGATTTACAATGATACAAAAATGAATTTTTAAAATGCTGGTTTTATTTTGCTTTGTTTCTTGAAAGAAGTTTAGTTCATAGAAAATATGTAAATATGTTTTAAAAAATAGACAGTCTAAAACTAGGTTCTGAAGCCTGAAATGCACAAAATTACTAGAGAGAAAACTATGAATTAAAAAATAGTGTATCCTTTATATATTCTGCAAATGGTTACTACATAAGTATGTGTTTTATTCATATCCATTTTGGGGAAATTTATCACCACTTAGGATTTCTCTGACATGAACATATATGCTCACAAATCAAAATGTACCATATGTAGAATTTCCCATCAGAAATTATAATTTGTACTGGAAATGTTTTAATGGGAGATGGTCCAGATAAAAGGATATAATCCTGAGAAAGTTTAAACAAAACCAGTGGAAATTAACACTTAGCTGCTAATTGATTGGAGTGGAAATTATGGCTGGCTAGATTAATGAAAAAAGTCTAGAAGCTGAAATAGGGACCTTCAATATTTGTCACCCTTTATATTATATTTGGCACAGCTAGGTATATGTATTATCAATCTAAATCCAGTTTCTGTCATGTTGAAAGTATTAACTTATACAAATGTTCTGCAAAGTATTAAAAACACCCAACCACAAGTATCTGCTTTAATTTTTGTGTTAAATTTCACTTAATATGCTCATTTTGTAATAATCCTTTGTTTGTATGTTCCCATCCATTATTCATGTCCATGTCAATGGTATGTATGCTGGTAGGCCTATGAGATACAGGGCCACAGTTTGGGGGAATTAGGTGGCATATATATGTGTGTGCATACATACATTTATGTTTATGTGCATACAGATACATATATACATAAATGACTAAATACATTTGTATTATTCTTTATTAACCATGAGACTTATTGAATTCTTAATAGTATATGAATTATTGTTGCAGCTACCTTAATATCTGTAAATTGCTTATGTTTATAAAGGCTGAAATGGTAACTACATAAATAAATAGCTCCTAAATTTCTTTTACATTCTTAGGTATATTTCCCATTACCCAATAGAAAAACTACTGGTATTTCTAGCTAGGTCTAATGGGATATAAACTACAGTAAAAGGTCATATATTTCCCATTCTTGGATTTAATTTAATTACTGGTAGATAGAAAAATATATTTTGAATACGGATATGTTTGGTTTGCTATCTTTTTTCAGGAAAAATCCCCCACAGGATATGGAGGTCTTTTACTCCAACCCCCTATGTAAGTAGGAGACCATATACCATTTCAGACAAGTGGTTGTCCAGTTTTTTCTTAAAAACCTCCAGTGATGGAGCACCCATAACTTCTGCAAGCCTTTCCACTGATTAACTGTTCTGTCAGGAAAGTTCTCCTTAGTTCTAACTTATATCAAAGCCAAAACCTGTTCAGACCTGATATTACCTGATACATATGATTAAGATTTCATTTTTAGCCAGTTATACAAAAATATAATAATGAAGACTACATTACTACTCTTCTATTTTTGTTGAGCTTTTTAAAAAAAAATACAGATCAAGTGTATTTATTTACAGTTTTTCATAAGTACTTAAAGTACCTTATGTATTACTACTCAGTAATCATTTTAACATGCTTTGCATGATTAATTCTGTATTATGGGTGAGACTTCCACTCAGTAAATAGTTATTTGATCTGCATTTAAATATGAACCCATAATTTCTAGATAACTCATGTCTGATACTCTTTCACTGTTCTGCTGCAGCTGAATTTATATTAATTACATACTCATCTACTTGGGAATTCTTTTTAGTAGGCAGTATTGTTAATATTAAGTCCTTTAATATTAGAAGCCCCAGAAGCCCCATCCTAGATGACAAAAACAAAATAACTGACTTTGATATTCTTTAAGAAAAAATATTTATGGCTGGATTAGTCACTAGTTATATAAAACAGATCACATGTGGATAAAAGATGGTGCATTCCAGTGATATGTGGGCCACCAAGTTGAACATATGTGAAAGATTCAACTGGACTCCTTCTTTTCTAAATAGTGTGACAGAACAAGGCAGAAGGCCGTGACAGTCACTATTTTTTATGCAACCTTTTGGGGCCAGATAATTTTGTGTCACATAACAGATAACAGATAATCAGAGTTGGAAGGGACCTTATAGGTCATCTTGTCCAACCCCCCGCCCAAGCTGGAGACCCTATACCATTTCTGACAAATGGCAGTCTAATCTCTTCTTGAAAGTCTCAAGTGATGGCGCTCCCACAACTTCCAAGGGCAAGCTGTTCCATTGGTTGATTGTTCTCACTGTCAGAAAGTTTCTCCTTGTTTCCAGGTTAAATCTCTCCTTGTTCAGTTTCCATCCATTATTCCTTGTCTGGCCTACAGGTGCTTTAGAAAATAGCTTGACCCCTTCCTCCCTGTGGCAGCCCCTCAAATATTGGAAGACTGCTATCATGTCTCCCCTGGTCCTTCTCTTTACTAGACTAGCCAAGCCCAGTTCCTGCAACCATTTGTTGTATGTTTTAGCCTCCAGTCCCCTAATCATCCTGGTTGCTCTTCTCTGTACTTTTTCTAGTGTCTCAACATCTTTTTTATAATGTGGTGACCAAAACTGGATGCAGTACTCTAGGTGTGGTCTTACTAAGGCTTTATAGAGTGGTATTAGTACTTCCCTTGATCTTGACTATATCCCTCTGTTAATACAACTTAGGATTGCATTAGCTTTTTTGGCGGCTGCTGCACACTGCTGGCTCATATTTAGCTGGTTGTCCTTTAAGACTCCAAGATCCCTCTCACAGTTACTGCTATTGAGCCTGGTTTCACCCAGTCTATATGTATACTTTTGGTTTTTCTTGCCTAAGCGTAGGACTTTACTTTTCTCTATATTGAATTTCACTTTATTAGATCAAGATTTAAATAACACGATCAAGATTTAAATAACATTTCTGAAAGGCATAAAACCTGATCATAAAATAGTACTGGAAATACATCTTAAATTTATACTCCACCTGCCCAATGTTTTCATATAGTTAATACATTGCTCTTGGTGATTATTGTATACAGTAGTGGTAATGCATTAAATATTTACTACCAAAGTGTTAATGACCATCTTCACCTTTGGTGTACGTCAGTTACAAAAGGTATAGAAAATGTCATTCTGACATTGCTTGAATCCAGGTACATTCATTCTCAACATAGACATATTTATTTCAGC